CTGTTTGCCCTCTTCCAAAGTATCTGGGTTTGTTTCGGCTTTCTATGTTGTATATAAGTTAGTTTATGCTTTGTTTCTGTCCATTAAAATTTCTCATTTCTCATGAAAAAAATTCGTATTCGTATTTCAAAATATCAAGTTCAGTTGTTTTCCAAAGAGTTGAATTTGATAAGGTGGGCTAGACAAACGATACTAAACAACGAATTATCCTTAGTGACTCATCATATGATGTTACAAAGTTTCACACAATACAAAAGGGTCAATAAAATATTAAAAGTTGAGGAAAAAGTTATAATATTATTGCAAAAAACGAAAAATAACAAAAGACAAACAACAGTCTACAAAACACTAAACAAAAACTAAAGACGGAGCAACACAATCCCCACCAAAATCGAGGGTGATCTCAGATGCTCCGGAAGGGTACAACAATATCCTTTTCAACATGTGGCAACAGTCGTTTTGCTCATGAAAAGTACAAATCGGTGATGTCACTATCAAAGAAAAGAGGTCAAGATTGCGGCCAAGACGATTTGAACATATTCATGGTCATCTGTGACACATATTCAAAAGCAGTCAATCAAATCATGATGGCGTCCGTAAAAAATTCAAAGGAATGGCTAACTTTACCATCATGAACCCATGGGCTAGTTACACTCATGGGTTGCTTTTAGTCCACCAGCAGTTTCATCAACCAGTTATATCAAAGCAAAATTATAGAATACCAAATTCAATTTGCTAAACCATATTCATATGGACATTTCAAAACTAATCTCAGGTTGCTTAGCAGTCTGAAAGTTGAAGAGTAACGAATTGTAAATAATTAGGACAGAATAGGATGCCAAGACTCTCTAAGCAACACCTGTAAAACATTGACATATAATCCTTTTCTTAAAAATTGATTCATAAAATGAAGGGATATTCTATCATGCATAAAAGTTGATTTAATTGTCCCTCCAAAAACAATGAGCTTGGTGTCAATCTGAAATTCAAGATGGCCACCATAGGGATTGGAACATATTATTAGTTGAGAAATAAGAATTATACAAATCCTCTGTATTGGAGACATTAGAATCATTCATAAAGTTTGTTATTTTAGTGTCATTCTGAATTCAAAGATGGCCACCACCACAGAAGATTTTACCACACGTTCATGGTCCATGGAATGGCTGTAATCTATATTCAAGAAGTCTTAAAGAGTTCATCTGCATGTCAATACACATATTGTTTCTGAAATTTTTTTATTTAGACATACACAATTGATTCAGGAATGAAACAGTGATGACTTGTAATTGATTCAATGGAGCTATTTTCATTTGCCAACTGATTAGCATTAGGTCTTTTAAAAACTGTAAGTAGCTCGAAGTCATCCTTCATAATTTCTCCTGTATTTATATATCTTTGGCTTTTCACTTTTTTTTCTTGGTCAAGTTTGGGAAAACAACATAATGTTTTATTGTATAGAAATAATTATTGGTTGGTGCTTTCAAACCAGTTTAAAAGCCAGAAGCCTGTAATTCAGTGGTTGTCTTTGTTGCTGTGTAACATATTTGTTTTTCATTCATTATTTTGTACATAAATTAGGCTGTTAGTTTTCTCGTTTGGAATTGTTTAACATTTGTCATTTCGGGGCCCTTTATAGTTGACTATGTGGTATTGGCTTTGCTCATTGTTGAAGGCCGTACAGTGACCCATAGTTGTTAACTTCTGTGTCATTTGGTCTCTTGTGGAAAGTTGACTCATTGGCAATCATACCACATCTTCTAATTTTTATATTCAGAGCTGGACCATATGATATGTGTTTGCTGCTTATATACCAGGTACTCCTTACAACGTTTCTACTCACAATTACTGTAAATTCAGAAATTATTGCGAGGTTTTTATTAATGCGAACAATGCGACTGGGTCAGTATCGCAATAATAAGAACTCGCATTATAATATCTGATGCATATATATGTATGCAGATTTTTCTGAAATGGCAATAATTAATCTCGCATTGGTGTCCATTCTTAAAAAATCGCAATAATAAATGCACGCAATAATTTCTGAATTTACAGTATCATTTATCATGTATGGTAACTTAGCAACATATTTTATCCTTGAAACTTAACCAGACTACTTGAGGGTAAATGAGTTCAAGGTAGACTGACAATTACTAACTAACATGGACTCCTCTAAAACAAACTCAATACAAATTTTGGTTTCCCAAGTTGAAAGTTTGGATATAAATATATATAAATATTTGTAGTTGGTACTGCCCTCATAACTGCAATTAAAGTAATAAACAAGGTTTGTGTTGTCCTAAATTATTGTGAAGGCAAGATAATGATACAGATTGATCGATTGTTGGTATTTAAAGCCACTTTCAGCACTCTTGTTTATATTTGTTGGTGGAGGAAGCCAGAGTGCCCAGTGAGAATCACCGACTTTCAGCAGTAAAATAGGCAATCCTAGGCAATTAAGATCAGAGTCCATCCCACCAACACAAGCAGGGTACAAAATCACAACTTCATTGTTGACAGGCTAGCGATGAATGACAATGAACTACCTTTTGTAGTTTTTCTTATGTTGTACTGTTACACCACTGTCCCAGGTTAGGGGGAGGGTTTGGTGCCTGTAAATATGTTTAACCTCGCCACATTCTTTATGGGCCTGTCCTAAGTCAGGAGCCTGCAGTTCAGTGGTAGTCATTGGTTCTTGTCTGTCAAATTTGTATATCGTAAATTGTTTTGTTATAAATTAAGCTGTTAGTTTTCTCAATTGAATTGTTTCATATTTTTCATATCAGGGCCTTTTATAGCTGACTATACAGTATGGTTTTTTTCTCATTGTTAAAGGCTTTATGGTTGCCTATAATTGCTTACATCCACTTCATTTGAACTTCGGTGGATAGTTGTCTCATTGGAAATCATACCACATCTCCTTATTTTTATACTTAGATTCATCGTCAACAGATGTCCCGACAATGATTCAGAGAGTTTTGTGTTTACCTTCTCTTTTGTGATAACAAGATAAATATAAAAGCTGACTAGAACAGCTCTAGATAATATCCATCTAGTTTGATAACAAATATACTTTCAAACCTAATTACTTTCCAGATATAAATGAGCAACAGCTTTAAACGAAACCTAAAAGTCATCATATTCATATTAGAATTGAAACTAACCATGCAATCAGGATACAATTATCAACTAGTAAATAAATATAGTAGGGTAATTATAAATTTATAGCATCAAGAAAGTTTGACTCTTACAGTAGACAATTTAAGGATGTTTGCTCCTCTTGTTTTTGAATTTTTGCCAGATATTCAGAATTCTCTGATTTTATCTATGTAGTGCCATTAAATTTTGCCTGCTAACCCCTACTTTTCTTTTCATTATTTTATTACATAGTTTAAAAAGCCATATTTGAAAATCTTATAAAATCCTTGTTATTTTTTTCGTAGTTTTAGAAAGAAAAAAGGTGCCAATGCTAAATGTATGAAAAATCTAGAGAGAATCATTTCCCGCCAAATTTTCAATGGCTTTTATCTCAAAAACAAGCACGCGGACCCTTCATTTTTTTCTGCTATTTCAGTTCATATATTTAGATACTTTCTATTTATAAGTCTTTTCAAACAGAGTAGCAAACATCCTTAAGACCTTTTAATATTAGAAAGTATACCATAAAAATAAAAGTAATGTGGCATTCTTTTAAGTGAAATGCGAAATAATGGCACAAAAGTGTACTAGACTTCACTCATACAGAGATTATATTGTTCATATTATATAATTACATGCTTATAAAAGCCTGTAGTTCTCAGCTGCCATCTCCATGCTTTACATTTTTTAGCAATTTAAAAGTCAATATCATATAGCAATTTTATCTTATTGATAAATACTGATATCCCCTTTAATTCATAAAAGACCTAATACATGTGTTTTTGTTCAATTTTAAATAAATGGAGAATGTGTCCATGGGACACAGATGATGCCCCCGCTTGTATATCATATAAAGTTATAAAGGGACATAACTGAAGAACGATAAAAGTGACACCACCAAAATTCAAACTTGATCTGTGTATTGTGGTAATAAACATTGTGTATAAGTTTCATAACATTTGGTAGAGGCAAACTAAAGTAAGAGAACGGAAACGAAAAAAATACAGCAATTTTTTCCATTTGTAAAGGGGCACAAGTCTAGAATGGTTAAAGTGACCCCACCAAAATTCAAACTTGATCTGTGTTTTGTGGTAATAAGCATTGTGTGTATAAGTTTCACAACATCTGGTTGAGGTAAACTAAAGTTAGAGAACGGAAACCAACTTTGGGACGTATGGACGTACGTATGGACGTGTGTACGGATGTACAGACGGACAAGGGTAAAACTTAAATGCCCCCTACGCTACGGTGGGGGCATAAAAATTGATACAGACATGAATTTTAGGGCTGTTTTTCTGCACACATTTTTTACCTACCTTACATTCCTGTTCCCAAATCTCCTTCCCACTTTTTCCCAGATCCTTCTTTTTTGTACCTCCTTTATCCCACATCCCCACTTTTTTAACCTATATCCCACATCCCCACTTTTTTAACCTCCTATATCCCACATCCCCACTTTCCCCCCTATATCCCACATCCCATAAGCGTGTCACCCCCTCTAAGATGGTATATAGCTATATAAAGGATTTATAATCTAATATATGTCCTTGCTATAATATATCAAAATAATTCACATTCATCTATTGCACTAACAGGGTTTTTCAACATGGAACTCAGGCATGTTAAAAAAAGACCTGACATGGATGGTAAATCATTCTGTATTTTCCTAGAAAAGTTTTATAATTCCCATTTCTTTTTTACAGGACGATATTGCAATCTACAATCCCTTATATATCTTATGGAATGCCTTTTCTGTACATACAACTTACAAATATTTAAAATTAGAATGTTGCTTTCACAATGGATCAAATACACATCAACAGTCATTACAGTATTAAAGAGTGTAATAATTCACTAAAAAGTATAGATTAGAAATTTATTGTTGATATCAAAATACACTTCTCCTTCGGAGACAATTTCTACACAAATTGTAAAAAGATATACAATCATCATTAATGCATTGAAATCAATACCACTCCTTAGTGTTTGACATCCACCTCTTGTTTGAAAAGACCTCAAAGTAAAAGAATCTTCAAAGATTTTTTTTTTTCATTTCAGCTACTCAGTACTGTATGTATATGACATCTATGGAAAGTATTACAAAATGGCATCTTTTTTTGAACAGAAAAACAAAAGTAAGTGATGACACTGAGGGTCTTATCTAATAAATTTATAAGAACAGAGCTTTTGAAACCCTGTCCAGTGTTAGACCTGTTCTTTTCTGATTTAAAATATAACCTATGGGAAAAAAAAGGAACGCCTATATATTCCATAAATCTTTTAGTGACTCATAAGTTACATGAAAACAGCACGCCTAGTAGACACTGTAAAGTAGATTAAGAATTACATTTGTGACCTTGACCTGTAATCTTAACTCATGAGTCATGACTATAAAAGTTACATCATCATCCATCAACATATTCACCAACCGTGCAAGGGCTGTATAGCCAGTCAAGGTCGTTAAAAACCTCCATATATATCAACATATCCAAACATTGTGTCGGTATTTAAAATCTTCTATATTTAGACTCAGGGCTAACTACATAAACTTAGACTGTGACCATGATGTTTGTTTTTTTTTGTTCGACATTAAAACCGTAATTATTTACTTTGACCTTGGAGGTACATAGGTAAACTTATCAATCTTTACAACTTGTGTTATGCAATAATGGGCTGGGCATTAATTAATTTTGTAAGCTATTGGATAGGAAGAGGTATAAAAAGTAAACATAAATGGAGTTGATGGAACATTATTATTTTAACATACTGTGTATTTATTTATATTTGTGGATACCAATTTTCGTGAATTGAGGAAAACTTGTATTTTCGTGGATAATTCATTTGTGGATCTGCCATAGTCTATTTACAAGCCTTTAGAAATGTGTACTTCTTTCTACATTTAAATTTGTGGTTTACCTATGTCCAACAAAAATTGGTATCCCATGAATAATAATGATCAACAGTATTCATAATGAAATGTGCTCCTGACTTACAAAAATATTGCCAATTTGCTCCCGAATGACAAAAATATGGCAATAACAAAATATCTGAGAGTTTTTAAATAACAAAGTCATATAATGAAATTGAGATGATTTGAAAAATAGCACTAAATTATGAAATACACAAATGGCACAAGAAATGTATGAAAATGCTGATATACAATGAATTCTAAGCTAAAAAAAGTGTAAAATTGTCAGTGTACAAGATAGTATTTTTTTGTTGCAAATTGTACATACAACATATAAGTATTATGCCTATTTTTGTTTTTTTTAAATCAGTCAATGCTTTTAATTACACAACCCAAAATCAAATCCCTCAAAAGATCCAAACTGCACCAGTAGTAAATGTCTTTTCTGTTAAATCAATTTGACCAGTCTTTCATCAACTTTCTAAGCTGCCTCAATCCTGCTACTGGAGAATGCTGTAAAATACAAAAGAATTTAACTGAAAAATATCAGCAGGTATGGTTATTGATTAGTTGACTATTTAGAAAGACCTAAAAGTTTTTTTTTGGTTCTCTTATGTGTGAAAAGGTTATTTTTCATGAAACAACAAATAACAAAATATCGTTTCCCAACTTTCATATGTATCAAAGTTTGTATATTTTTCCATTTTGACAGGGTAAACCTGTCAGAAGCAGGAAACAAAGACAGATGACATTTTCAAGCATTTTGAAGTACAATCTGCTTCATTTGTTTATCTTTGGAATTTTACACAATTTTTACAAAAATGTGGAAATACATTTAATGTATACTATAGTTGATTACATGCCGATCAAAGGACAAATAATAAGGTACATGTCAACGAGTACTAGAGTATCACTTGGTAGTACAGAGTATTGATTGATTGAATATCTAAATGATACTTGACTAATCAGTTTTCTATTAGGATATTATCCCCTTCTGTTCTTATTTTTTTAATCTCTGATTAATCACAGTTAAAATACCTCAAAAATCGTTCGTTTGGAAATACTTAAATAAGTCTTTGACAGTAAAATTGTAAAATGTCAACTTTGTGAAGTTGAACTGACATTTGTAGGTGAACTAAAATCATATTGCACTATATCAGAGAAAGACTGTTAGTAACAAAGTTTTTAACATTTATCTTAGTACTACACCGAAACCTTTTCATTTTTTATGCTTCCCATTTTAAGTATATTTTTAAAGATTTCATTATTCATTATCATATGATTATGCAGCTAAATAATCAATCACCATTGTTACATGTAACTTACTTGCTTGAAATGTTCCGACATGGAATCTTCCTGAGGCACATCAAAGAAGGATGGACATATTACTTGCAAGACATGTTCCCATGGATAGCTTGTTTTTCCTCCTTCACTTTGGGACACTTCTGAAATCTTCTGTGGAGAGTAACTTATTTGTTCTGGTAATTTGTTTATCCAAGGACACCAATACCTGTGTTCTTCCAAAGGGTTGAAATGATCCTTTTTCACCTGAAAAAAAATTATAGCTTCTAGAATTCTAAACAAATGCTAAATCAAAAATAAATGACGTTCTAACACATAAAAACTTTTTATTTGCATTCTCAATACATCTCTAAATAATCATTACTGTTCATTATTGCTTACTTGACTATCAATGACTATGAAATTTTCTTTTGTTTTTTGTTTGTTTGTTTTCTTTTTTTTTTGGGGGGGGGGGGGGGGGGAGTGAAACATGGGAAAAAATAAGGGCATAGGTTACAGAAAAGATCAGTTGTTGATTCTTCCTTAAAAATTTACACAAAGCCAACTTTGATATATATGTTATATTGAAATATGCAATAAAAATATACCTTCATGACTTACTTGTCGTGATATTTTAGTTCTAATTTTGTGTGTTGTCTGTTTGAGGTAATAGTTCTATACTTAGCCGTAAAAATAGCAAAACATTCAAATTAAAATTAATTTTCGATAGTTTTATTAGGTGGGGGGATGCTTACATCATGTACATGACGATGGGGCATTAACATTAACTATTTAAAAAAAATAGGTTTTCTGCTTTTAGCCAAAAATCAAACTTATGGAAACTCTTTTGAAATCAAGAGATTTTTCATAGTTGCAAGAAAAATGTAAGTTTTTCTTTGTGACTTTCTTTAAATTCATGCAACTAATTCGATAACATCAGTGTTTTCCAGGAAATTTGGATGCTTAATATCATTCATTATGAGCAATCATATGCCATCAAGGATCTTGAAAATTATAAATAAAAAAATTCAGCAACAAGACAATTAATCATTAGATGACAATAATTGATCACGTTGATAAAAATTAACTCTTCAATTAATTAAAGACTGAACAAGAATGTGTCCATAGTACCATGTAGTACACGGATGCCCCACTCGCACTATCATTTTCTATGTACAGTGGACCGTGAAATTGGGGTCAAAACTCTAATTTGGCATTAAAATTAGAAAGATCATATCATAGGGAACATGTGTATTAAGTTTCAAGTTGATTAGACTTCAACTTCATCAAAAACTACCTTGACCAAAAACTTTTACCTGAAGCGGGACAGACGGACGAACGCACAAACCGAAAAACATAATGCCCCTAGGTGGGGCATAAAAATCCTGCAATTTTTCCATTGGTGATAACAGTTGTCTTGTATTGCTCTAAATATTTTAAAAATAATACCAAAGATTTTTAGATACATAATTCTACGGTTCATTCATAGATGAAAATAATTTATAACCATTCAACCTACTATTTTCAATTTCTTCCTTCTAGGCTGGCTTTCTGTGTCCTGTACTGGACATTGACCATCATTCTGGGCAGATAGATTGTTTCTTAAACTAATTGAGTCTTGATTTGTTTGACCTGTCGATTTCAGCGTTAGTGCATCGTCAACTGAATAAGAGTCCTTGCATTTTTCATTATCCCCATCAAGTTTTTCACAACTTAATGTTTCTACACTTTCTGCCTTTGCAGGACTTCCTAAGTCTGTTTTCACCGGGCTTTCCTTATTTTCACTATTGCACTTAACATTTGTATCACCAAGACTTGATTCATATGTATCCATCTCATTAACATGATTAAGATCTTTAACAACACAGCTTGGCTGCGAAAAAATATACTGATTGTCGTCAAATAATAATGGCTGTAATTCAGAACTGGCTGAAGGGTCCAAAAAGTTTGGCTGTGAAAAATTAAATCCACTCTCCAGTGATTGCTGGTCACCCTGATGACTAACAATTGGTTGATCATCAGCTGAATTTCCATTTGTTCCAGTAGCTACTTCTTCATCTGATGAAGATTTACTGTCTGTTTTACTAGATATTTCATCAACTTTAATTCCATTAGTCTTTGTTGAATTTGTTGCTTCCACATCAGACTCTTCACTTGAAACTGAATCATCTATATAACTGTCTTCAGCATTTTTACATGCATAATTCCATAAACCTACTTTTCGTCTACAAAAATGACAAACTATAAGTCCTGTCTTTGGATCACTGAAATAAAGAAAATAAAGTTAACTTGCATAAAATTAGATAATTGTTTTAAAGAGGGTTTCTGATTGAAAAAAGGCCGGAGTCTTTTCTGTCCTAAAAATTGTCAAGTAAACTTCCCTTGAAAAGAGAAATTTTTAGGACAGGAAACATATACTTTAAAAAATAATAAAAATTATGCTTAAAAAAAATTTCTGGACTACAAAGTCGAAATAGTAATATTTATATAATATTCAAAACAGTACTTTGCACACAGTTCATGTATTTACACACCAAAGTAAAAAAAATTGTTTACTTCCTGCCTAAACACTGAATATATGACTTCATTACTAAAAGTTTTTATTGACATGAAACAATAATAAACAAGAGGCTCTCAAGAGCCTGAATTGCTCACCTGTATTTCAGAGGAGAAGATTTTTAAATGTTAGCAAACTTGATGAACAAATTGTGTAAAATTGTCTTTAAAGGGCAATAACTCCTTAAGGGGTCAATTGACAATTATGGTCATATTAACTTTTTTGTAGATCTTACTTTGCTGAACATTATTGCTGCTTACAGTTTATATATATCTATAATAATATTCAAAATAATAACAAATAAACTGCTTCGCCGAGTGCAGCTAGATACGCCTGCAGAGGTCCAACCCTGAACAGTTGGGGCAAAAATGGACACAATATTCAAGCTTGATTCAGGTCTGAATTTGGATTGTAATTAAATATTTGACATATTATAGGTTTCTGAATAAATGTAGTCAAAGAACTTGAAATTAGTTATATGAATTGAATTTATATTCAATTAAAGATTTCTTGCTGTTGTGCAATAGTCCCCAATACTTAGTAAATCTGTTGTCAGACTATAAACAAATAAAGTTCAATTAATTCTCAATGTCATATTAGAAATTTATGGAAATAAAAAGGGGGCTTACATCAATAGATATAAACAATTCACCAAAGTTTCATGAGAATTGATGACAGCATTTTTGAGTTATTGTCCGAAAACTGGAAAATCACCCCTTTTTTTTAATGAATAAAACCCCATAACTCAGAAATGTAAAATGTAAAATTTATAAAATTCTAAAGGGAGCTTACATCAATACATACAAACAATTCACCGAAGTTTCATACGAATTGCTGAAAGAATTTTCTAGTTTTTGTCCGAAAACTGGAAAATCCCCCCTTTTTTTATGAATAAAACCCTGTAACTCAGAAACGTAAAATCTAAAATTTATAAAAATCAAAAGGGAGCTCATGTCAATAGATATAAACAATTCACCACAATTTCTTGCAAGTTGGTGAAAGCATTCTTGACTTATTGTCCGAAAACTGGAAAATCCCCCTTTTTTTAATGAATAAAACCCCATAACTCGGAAACGTAAAATCTAAATTTTATAAAAAACGAAAGGGAGCTCACGTCAATAGATATAAACAATTCACCAAAGTTTTATGCAAATTGGTTAAAGCATTTTTGAGTTAATGTCCGACATGTTGACGACGGACAGACAGACGGACGGACGGACAGAGGTATACCATAATACGTCCCGTAAAAGGGCGTATAAAAACAGCAAAATTTTGTTAAAACTACCAATTCGGTGGCAGCAACCCAACAATGGGTTGTTCCATTCTTCTGAAAATTTCACAGCCGATAGATCTTGACCAATTAAACAATTTCACCCCTGTCACATTTGCTCTAAAAGATTTAGTTTTTGAGATATAAGCCAATAAACTGCTTCGCTGAGCGCAGATGGAAACGCCCACAGAGGTCCAACCCTGAACAAAATGGGGCAAAAATGGACACAATATTCAAGCTTGATACAGGTCTGAATTTGGATTGTATTAAATATTTGACATATTATAGGTTTCTGAATAATTTTAGTCAAAGAACTTGAAATTGGTTATATGAATTGAGTTTATATTCAATTAAAGATTTCTTGCTGTTGTGCAATACACTGTGCTGTTGCGCAATACTTAGTAAATCTGATGTCAGACTATAAACAATTAAAGTTCAATTAATTCTCAGTCATATTAGAAATTTATGAAAATGTAAAGGGAGCTTACATCAATAGATATAAACAATTCACCAAAGTTTCATGAGAACTGCTGACAGCATTTTTGAGTTATTGTCCGAAAACTGGAAAATCCCCCCTTTTTTAATGAATAAAACCCCATAACTCAGAAATGTAAAATGTAAAATTTATTAAATTCTAAACGGAGCTTACATCAATAGATACAAACAATTCACCAAAGTTTCATAAGAACTGCTGAAAGCATTTTTGATTTTTTGTCAGAAAACTGGAAAATCCCCCTTTTTTTATGAATAAAACCCTGTAACTCGGAAACGTAAAATCTAAAATAAATAAAAATCAAAAGGGAGCTCATGTCAATAGATATAGACAATTCACCACAATTTCTTGCAAGTTGGTGAAAGCATTCTTGAGTTATTGTCTGAAAACTGGAAAATCCCCCTTTTTTTAATGAATAAAACCCCATAACTCAGAAACGTAAAATCTAAAATTTATAAAAAACGAAAGGGAGCTTACGTCAATAGATATAAACAATTCACCAAAGTTTTATGCAAATTGGTTAAAGTATTTTTGAGTTAATGTCCGACATGTTGACGACAGACGGACAGATGGACAACGGTATACCATAATACGTCCCGTAAACAGGCGTATAAAAACTGCATTTGACCCTTATGTTCTATTTTTAGCCATGGCGGCCATGTTTGTCGATGGATACAAACTTTGGATACAATTTATAAACAAGATACCCTAAGGAACATTTAGTTAAAGTTTGAAGGTAATTGGCCCAGTAGTTTCAGAGGAGAAGATTTTTAAATGTTAGCAAAATTGTGTAAAATTGTCTTTAAAGGGCAATAACTCCTTAAGGGGTCAATTGACAATTATGGTCATATTAACTTTTTTGTAGATCTTACTTTGCTGAACATTATTGCTGCTTACAGTTTATATATATCTATAATAATTCAAAATAATAACAAAAAACTGCAAAATTTTGTTAAAACTACCAATTCGGTGGCAGCAACCCATCAATGGGTTGTTCGATTCGTCTGAAAATTTCAGAGCTGATAGATCTTGACCAATTGAACAATTTTACCTCATGTCAGATTTGCTCTAAAAGCTTTAGTTTTTGAGATATAAGCCAAAAACTGCATTTGACCCCTATGTTCTATTTTTAGCCATGGCGGCCATGTTTGTCGATGGATCAAAACTTCGGATACAATTTATAAACTAGATACCCTAAGGAACATTTAGTTAAAGTTTGAAGGTATTTGGCCCAGTAGTTTCAGAGGAGAAGATTTTTGAAATAGTTTACGACGACAGACCAAGACGATAGCGACGGACGCCAAGTGATGGCATAAGCTCACATGGGGCCCTTTGGGCCCCGGTGAGCTAATGATGAAAGATTAACTAAAATTCAAAGTGTCAAAACAAGCGAATGATTAAATTAATATCATGCAAATGTTTTTAAAATCATTTGCATTAAGGAATTGATGAAAATATTACTATTGACGCCTACCTGAATTGAATTGTGTATGTTGACCTAATTTTGTACCTTTTGGTCACCAGGTAAATTGTCTATATGACACTCTATGGAAAATTGAAAAGAATAAGTAACTTTAATATTTAATCCTATCTTTCAAAAATAATAAATCAATCATTAGAATAGATCCACAAGTCCAGGCAACTGTTTTTCATCTTTAAATTATTTGTATAATTCGTCTAGAGAGCTTGTTATGAGACTAGTGACTTACCTAACTTTCCATCCAGTAATGGCCATACTAAATGTTCCTAGATCAATATTGTCTAAATTATGGTTTTCTAAATGTTTCTCTGCAGTACACTTCATCTCTTCCAAATGATTTGCTGATAAACCCTGCAGGAGAAAATAATGAAGTTATTAGTTCACACTGTTGATTCAATATTATTTGTGGGGTTCTAATTTTCATGGATTTGTGGGTAAAGGTTAACCACAGATATAAGTGTTCCACAGAATACAGAATTTCTAAGGGCTTGAATGCAGAAATTGTTAAAACCATGTAAGCCACAAAAAGTTTCTTTAAATTATTATATATGAACCCACAGTTCATTATAGGGTCTTGGAAAAGTTTTTTCTTCTTTTATATCATTATGATAATAGACTTTGTATTTAACTTATTTCTCAATTACCTTTGTAACATTCACAAATTTGCTACTTTCTATCATTTTATTTCTACAATTCTATAAATACCTATCTTCTTGTTTTATTTTTTCAAAATTTTGCTCAGTAATACCTTGGAAACAGTTAAAGAATTATTTATCTTTTGCCAATAATGACTTTTGGATTAACTGGTTACATTTAGCAATGTTAGAATTGCACCTGGGATTACACAAGATTTAAGGACAAGATTACAGAATGGTAAAACAGTAAATGAATAATCCTTTTAAGGGAAAAAAGGGACAAGATTGGAACCTTTTAACACTTTTTTGGGGGTGAACAAGAAAACAGTGTTCTTATGTTAGAAAATAACAAACCTTTTCTTCAAACGATTTCAGTGAGATTTCAGGAAGACGACCTTGAACTTTTTGTAGACTATCTATGTATTCTTTTATACAGCACACAAGTTTTTTTCTGTCTTTGATTGGAATATAAGAATATCTTTCTACAAATAAAAAAAAAAGTTTATTATTACTGACACACAAACTCTTAAAATCTGTAAATTCCTATTTGTTGAACTGAGATTAGACATGATTCAAAAAATGGATTCTTCCACCAAATTCTAAAACTGAGGAATATCACAACTGATAATAAGTATATATATACATGAAAAATATGCTCCCACCAGCCTCTTATTTTTACCACCACAAAACAACCATCTGTTTGTTTTGGTATATTTTCAAATTGATTAGTTGGCAACATTGTAATGCTATATATACTAATTATACAGTTGATGAATAACTGGTGTTTCCTGAAGTCAAGAACATACATACTTGTGCAATATGTGAGTAAAATGATTGCTTATAATGAGGAACAGTAAATGGGCTTTGTCACAGATTTTGGTAAAATTTTGCATACAACTTGGGCTCGTTGAATTATATCTGAAAATTGAAAAAAAACTAGATATCATTGAGATGGGAGCTATCTCTGTGGGCCCCGCTGTGAATAATGTGTGGTAAAAATTTGTATCTTTATCATTGGACATGGGGTTGTCAAATGAAGTTTTTGACCTTGACCTTTGACCTAGGAAGTTGTACATAAATTATGACACATCCTCTGGTGTTGGTTTATATACATATCAAGTATAAACTTTGAAATCATAACGGTTCTCAAGATATAGAGCGGACACGATCTTTACCATAGGACATGGGGTTGTCAACTAAAACCAAAGTTTTTGACCTTGATCTTTGACCTAGGAAGTTGTACATACATTATGACACCCCCTCTGGTGTTGGTTAATATACATATCAAGTATAAACTTTGAAATCATAACGGTTCGCTAGATATAGAGCAGACACGATCTTTACCATAGAACATGGGGTTGTCAACTAAAACCAAAGTTTTTGACCTTGACCTTTGACCTAGGAAGTTGTACATACATTATGACACCCCCTCTGGTGTTGGTTAATATACATATCAAGTATAAACTTTGAAATCATAACGGTTCGCTAGATATAGAGCAGACACGATCTTTACCATAGAACATGGGGTTGTCAACTAAAACCAAAGTTTTTGACCTTGACCTTTGACCTAGGAAGTTGAACATACATTATGACACACCCTCTGGTGTTGATTAATATACAAGTCAAGTATAAACTTTGAAATCATAACAGTTCTCTAGATATAGAGCGGACACGATTTGTTACGGACGGATGGATGGATGGACGGACAGACGGACAGACAGACTGATCACTATAGGGCGGCCGCCATTCAGCGGGGCCCTAATAATACCTTTATCTCTATTATTTTCTGAAATATTACTGATTGAATTCTTTCAAAATAGATGAACATTTGTATAGGAAGTATATGAAATCAACGAAAAATGTTCATAAATTTACTTAAAATCATCAAATTTCCAATTTTTACAACAGAGATTTTTCTTAAACAAGAGTGCACACGCTGAAATGTCTCGCCTTCTTTACTAATCATTGATATTATGTTGATAGTCATAAATATAAAGCTTTATTACAACTGTCACATAAACTTAACATTAACCAAGTAAACTAAACATTGACCAATGAACCATGAAAATGAGGTCAAGGTCAGATGAACCATGCTAGGCAGGCATGTACAGCTAACAATTCTTCCATACAACAAATATAGTTGACCTATTGCTTATAGTTTAAGAAAAACAGACGAAAACACAAAAACTTAACACTGAGCAATGAACCTTGAAAATGAGGTCAAGGTCAAATAAAACCTGCGTGACTGACATATAGATCATAAAATATTTCCATACACCAAATATAGTTGAACTATTGCATATAGTATTAGAAAAAAAGACCAAAACTCAAAAACATAACTTTGACCACTGAACCATGAAAATGAGGTCAAGGTCAGATGACACCTGCCAGCTAGACATGTACACCTTACAATCATTCCATACACCAAATATAGTAGACCTATTGCATGCAGTATTAGAAAAAAAGACCAAAACTCAAAAACTTAACTTTGACCACTGAACCATGAAAATGAGGTCAAGGTCAGATGACACCTGCCAGGTAGACATGTACACCTTACAATCATTCCATACACCAAATATAGTAGACCTATTACATACAGTATAAGAAAAACAGACCAAAACACAAAAACTTAACTATAACCACTGAACCATGAAAATGAGGTCAAGGTCAGATGGCACCTGCCAGTTGGACATGTACACCTTACAGTCCTTCCATACACCGAATATACTAGACCTATTGCTTATAGTATCTGAGATATGGACTTGACCACGAAAACTTAACCTTGTTCACTGATCCATGAAATGAGGTTGAGGTCAAGTGAAAACTGTCTGACGGGCATGAGGACCTTGCAAGGTACGCACATACCAAATATAGTTATCCTATTACTTATAATAAGAGAGAATTTAACATTACAAAAAATCTTAACTTTTTTTTCAAGTAGTCACTGAACCATGAAAATGAGGTCAAGGACATTGGACATGTGACTGACGGAAACTTCGTAACATGAGGCATCCATATACAAAGTATGAAGCATCCAGACCTTCCACCTTCTAAAATATAAAGCTTTTAAGAAGTTAGATAACGCCGCGGCCGCCGCCGCCGGATCACTATCCCTATGTCGAGCTTTCTGCGACAAAAGTCGCAGGCTCGACAAAAACTATATGTTGTTGATACATAAATTTCCGTTTTAATGATGTAAAATAATCATTTGGTCATCGAATTCGTTTTTTGTGTATTAACCAATCCGTTACTTGTAGTTAGTGAAAAACGTCAAAAATCAACGTTTTACGGTCTACCGATGACGTTACGATTATTTCAATGTTTTTGGTAAGTTTTCACTTAGTACACCACTTTGAATGATTTTTACCGTAAAAATGAAGTTGGTAACCCTATTATTATTTTACATCATTAAAACGGAATTTTTTGTACAAACAACATAGTTTTTTAAGAAAAATCTATGAACTTAAAATTTGAAATTTGATGATTTAAAGACAAATTTAAGAACTTTTTCGCTGATTTTTTGTGCTTTCTATACAAATGGGCGCCTATTTTGAATGAATTCAGTCAGAAATATTTCAGAAAAAAAAGAGATAAAGGCATTATTTTTTCAATTTTCAGATACAGTTCAACGAGCCAAAGGTGTATGCAAAATTTTAAGAAAATCTGTGACATAGCCCATTTACTGAAACTTGGACCTTTAATGTAAGATTTTCAATATGGCTAATGTTTTTATTTCTCAACATATAAATACCTGGACTTGGATAAGCTGGCCAAAAGCAAGACTTCAGATGTGCATTTCTGAGATTATCTTTTAGCTTCATGCAGCTTTCATGATCTGGAAAAAAGGTTTTGTTACATTATTAAACAATGAATATGAGGGCAATGGAAAAGATGCTTGAATCTGCATTACTTGTACATATGAATCCAGACGTATTCAGAATGTATGTGTTTTTTTATTTAAAACAATCTCTTATTGGTAGATTGGTAGCCTGTGGTCCTTCAATGTGGTGACACAATTAACTGTCAAAGTAGTGATTTCAAAATATACCTGTAGAGTGACCTGTAACTGCTTAAATCCATGTTATTTAGTCTCTTTGGGATAGTTGTCTCATTGGCAATCATAACACATATCCTTATTTTACACTGGAGTACTATTTTTTTCAGCTATTCTTTCCAGCATTTTCCATGTACGACATCTCTAATCAAAATTTTAGAAATTGTTGAAAATTATGCAATATTCATATGTTCTAATATTTTGAAGTTTATAGTAAGCATGCAATTATTTCAAGAGTTCCATATATAATTCATTACTAAACGGTAAGTTTTCTTAGGTATACTTTTAAAGAATAACTACTAAAAATATTGGCTTATACTGTACTTATTTTTTGCAAAGAAATCTATGGAAAATGCTTGGTATTAAATTATATCATAGAATATATTAAATGTGCACTAACATTTGGTTACTCTCAGTAGGAAACATTACCCTCAATGATTGCCATAAAATACAAAGGAGGGGAATTCATCATTTCTTTCAATTTTATATTAGTTTAACAGATAAATGAAAATCATGATATAATCTAGAAACTGTACAGAAATGTCCATTGTAAACTCACTTTGAAATTTACCAAATTGACCTGAAATGACAATTTTACACAGTTCTTGGTAACATCAATAATGAGCCAAGGTCTTTACCAAAGATTTTTTACCCACTACTCTGTATGACATCTTGTTGTAGCAAAATGTAATTTTTGGACATGGCTGATGTCTAAATATTTATTACAAGCTCTCAATATAAGGATACATTAACAGTTTTTTCTGGTTTTGTATTTAAAGAAAGAAGTGTGTAGCCCTAAAGCAAATAGGTCAGGCAAAAATTTGCAAATGAAAATACTGATATCTGACAAACTTTATATGTCTTACAGTCTGTGCCAAACTCTTTTGGTTTCTATCTTGACATTCGATCAGACATTGTTGTAGATTTTGTCTGACCGAACAGATTTTTGTCTGTCCGAAAAAAAATCAATCAATTCAGCTTGTTGTGTTGTTTATGTTTTTAAATGTACTGTGTTGTTTTATGATGATATTCATGGTAAAAATTGCATTTCAGGAAAGCAGTTGATAAATTTATTAAATAAAAATATTTGTTTCAAAGTAATATTCATATTAATAAAACATGACATTAAGACAACCCGTTTATAAAAATTAAATTAAATGTATGTAAAGAATGTATTTATACAAGTTTTGCAGTTTTGCTTTTTCCCCCAGAAAATATTCATTATTTTAATAAATTTAAGTGGCACTCCAAACTCAGCTATTTATCAAATTGAAATCCTTAACTGGCTATAAATAACTAGATACAGTGTAAACAGTACTGGGATTTCCCTTATTTTCCCGCCAAAAAGCACATAGCTGTCAAAAAAGTAAACACACAATTGTTGCATGTGATCATAGTTTGTTTGTAACATTCCTGCTTTTATTGATTTAATTTGGATATAGATATTCAATTTAAGGTACAGTAACAGTCAAGCATTTCCATTTATTGGATAGTTTGCATGCAATTTTTTTAATAATTTTCAACTGGAACAAACTTGGCCATCCGACCTTGTTCACCCATGAGAGATAATGTAAATAACTGCAGTCTCCCATTTAAGTAAATATTTCCTATTTCGATCGTCTTTTTCATAAACTGTTTAGTTTACAAATTCTGGAGTTATTTAATTTGATCACTTTGGCCTTAGGAACGTAACTGTTAAGAAATCTTCCATTTTAGATCATTTTAACTTTTATAATGTATTTCTAATAATCGAAATCTCGTCACCGATGTAACTTATTATTTGGACCAAACAACATCATGGTCATGGGATGAGAACTCTTGAAAAACGTGACTTGATAACTTGACAAATCAAAAACATGCATAGCGAACTCTTGCAAGCGTGACTTGATATTTAGACCAATCAACGCAACGGGATCTCAACCAAATCAATTATCAAATAAGTTATTTATAGTAACAGAACTGAGACAGTGAAAACAACGGACATACGGACCGGAATTGACATATGATTTGACGGACCTGCGTCTTTTTCATCGGTCATGACCGTCAGACCGACGACGTTTGGCACAAACTGATCTTATGAGAACATTTAAAGGATGGTACATGTACATGTATTTCATAGATATATCTCTCTTTGATTTTTTAATTAAAAGTGGACTTGTCATACCTTTAACTTATATATAATACAACTGAAAATATGATTATGAATTACATATAAGACTGTTAGCTCTTTTTGGTAGCTGACCACACAGAACTGCTTTACACCCAACACATTGCAACATGTCTGTTTCTTTATTCTTCCATCCATATCTTGAACAAATCAGCGGAGATAAGTCTAATGGCTTGGCAAACCATGACATCATCTGACATTAGTTAAGAGAAATATCATGTAAATAAGTCCATTTTAATAATAAAATGCTTCGCTGAGCGCAGCCTCATACGACCGCAGAGGTCGAACCCTGAACAGTGGGGGCAAATTTGGACACAATATTTAAGCTTGATACTGTCTGAATTTGGATTGTAATCAAATTTTTGACATAATATAGGTTTCTGACACAAAATATATGTGGTCAAAGATCTTATAAATCCATTGCGCAATACTGTGCAATTGAACATTTCTTCTTGAAACTTTTCAAAAATTCGAAATTTTAAAAATTTTGAAAAAAAAATATGAATCCCTTTAAAAAAATTGGAAAACCCCCCCCCCCCCCCCCCCCTCTTGGAACAATAACCCCAAAACTCAATCCCAGCCTTTCCTTTGTAGCATGGAACCTTGTAGTACAATTTCAGAGAGATCCATACACTTACACACAAGTTATTGTCTGGAAACTAGTAAAATGCTTGTTTTTGGCCCTTAATTCCTAAACTGTTGGCCCCATAACCCCTAAAATGAATCCCAACCTTCTACTTGTGGTATTAAACATTGTGGTTCAATTTCAGAGCAATCGAAATACTTATACACAAGTTATTATCCTGAAACTAGAAAAATGCTTGTTTTGGGCCCCTTTTTCCTAAACGGTAGGGACCATCATCCCCAAAATCAATCCCAACCTTCCTTTTGTGGTATTGAACCTTCTTAAAAAATTTCATAAAGATCCATTCACTTAAACTAAAGTTATTGTCAGGGAAACCAATGTGTCTTTGGACGATGACACAGACGACGTTGACATCATACCATTATACGATCCCAAAAATTCGTATAAAAATAGAAACCTGCATGTTGAATAACTTTAATGTGTTCATTGAAAGCCTGTTGCAAGGGATAATTTCATCCCTATCCAAGACACTTTGTAAGCAATACTATTTTGATACGGACTGAATGTTGTTTGCATCAACACTCTCATGGGCCTCAAAATAAGGAACACATTTATAATTTGTACACAAACAATCTCTATACCATGATATTAAGATTGCAATTTTAAAGGAATTGACTGAACTTTACATCATTTGTGCTGTTCCAAAAGTTAAATCTGTAATGTCTTAAGACGTTAAATTAAGGCTTATAAAGGAGAGAAGCCACACTACAAGTTGGTAGAAGAAAAAATATATTGCTTCGTGCCCATCTAATCAAGACTTTTCCAAATAAATTTTACTGTTTGTTTTTATGTTGTGCTGTTACAAAACTGTCCCAGATTAGGGGAGGGTTGAGCACTAACAAAGATATTTAACACCTCCACATTATATATGAGCTTATCCCAAGTCAGAATTCTGTAATTCACTTTATTCAGAGGTTGTTTTTGGTTCCTATGTATCATATTTGTTTTTCATTTATTGTTGACATAATTCACTTATCTCAGGCAGTAGGTTTTTTCATATGAATTATTTCACATTTTGTCAAGTGGGGACATTTTACAGCTGACTAATCAGTATGAGTTTTGCCCATTTATGAAGGCTGTACGGTATCATGTAGTTGCCTTAATCTGCTTCATTTGGACTCTGTTGGATAGTTGTCTTATTGGCAATCATACCACTCAGTGATCTCCTCAGGCCATTTCAGCGTTGCGGCACCGTGACGCTATAATTATTTTGAGGATGCTATTTTTTCTTGTCTCTATACAGCAAAACGATGCCCTTTTTTTTGAACTTTCATCTAATTACCGCTTGTGATCATAAAAATTATATCACCTTTAACTGGTAATCCCTTCAAGTCGGACAATAGAGGCAATTAAGAGTGATTAAATAGGTGTTAATTGCCCTTTGGGTGATAACTGTTTGGATACGAATACCCCAAGCTGACACTTATGACTTGACTAGTAACACATGGTCCAATCGCAAATTTTGACGAGAAAATGTAATCAGAAAATCATAAACAATTCAATGTTTGCATCATGGCATAACCGTCTTCTAAGAGAAGAAATCAAAGCATCGTTGATGTTGTGATCCAGCCATATTCATAGCTAGTCTGATATTCTTTCTGACCATACTTTTTTCTAAATTTTTTTCTCTTTTCATTTCCAATCTTACTGTAAAATTTCTATGTTATTGTCCAAAAGTAGGGAATTTCGCAATATTGAAGCAAATATAAATATATATACTGATCTTTCAATTTTAGACTCTGTCAGATATTACTTTTGACAAGAATGGAAAGGAAAATCGTCAAACATGTAATATATTTTTTAAATGCCATTAATAATGACAGGTTTAATAATTTCCAGAAAGAGGCCTTATAAATGCAGTTTCTCAACAACAAAAATTAATAACTATTTTTTATCTAAATTGGTGTTCATTCTTCATTAAGAAAAAATACAATTCCTGTATTCAAATCTGAATGTACAAATACCTAATGCTGAGATATTTCCAATTACTGTTAAATAGCAATATAATGGGATATAAATGTAAAACAAACAAATTTTATTGCAGAAAATGCTCAGGTAAGAGTTATGCCATTTTGTTTAATATTTCAACCAAATTTCTGATAATTGTAACTTATTAATTAGAACTTGATTATTGACTTATGTCAGATGATAATGGCACTGATTTTACAAGTAAAATCAAATTTGCTTGCATTTTTTATACATATTTTTTTCATTTTAAGTATTTTCTTTTAAAAAAAAACACATCAGATTAATCATTCAGCTAGCTAGCAAAATTAACAGAATATTTTAATGCAGTGTAGATCAAAATAAATAATACATTTGTAGGTTTACTATTGAGGTCAAGAATGTGTGTATTCAGTTAGGTGTGTAGTAAATTGTGTTTATTTAATTATGTAACATGTCATGAGATATTAACTGTTTTGAATTAAGCCAGGGGTTGTTTCTCATTAATACTTAGTTGAAAATCATGACAGTTAATAATCATTCTGACTCTTACTTGCCTATGGAAAGAATTGGAGTAATACCATTTCAAAAAAGTGTGGAAATCAACTTAGATATATTAATACACATGTTGACATACGTTTCATTGAATAATAATTTACACAAGCACAAGATACTAATATAATACTTTCAAAATTCTTATCAACTGATTCAATTGATGTACAAATACTTTTTCAAATTAATTCATAAATAGTAAATCATCATAAATTTTGATTTAGAAAGGAACTATATGCAAGTGTATATCTAAAATAAAGTCACTATTCGACCAATCTTTTCTTAATTTAAGGGCAAATAACATGTCAAAAGTTTGCAGTTGATGATTAAATTGGTGTAGAAAGTTTCTGCAAGTCATAAAAAAACCATAATTAGTTTCATGATATGTCTTCAACTTAGCATTCTGCACCATCTCCAAAACCAGAGTGATCGCACAGATCCAGCATGGCTGAATCAAAAACTATGCGGGGTACGTCGATGTTGACAAACTGGCTGACTAAACCAAGTTGTACAATTAGGCAATTGTTTACATGTCGTTTTAACAGCAATTTTTCATTTATAAGTAAAGAAATTTAAAGATATAAACGATTTATTTCTTTAGAAAAGAGGTTTGTTCGTATGTTATTTCAAACTAACAACTTTTAAAAGAAGTATTATCTTTCCCTTCCGCAAGTTCCGGTACTTGTTACTCGAGAGCATATATTAAACATTTTGATTTTTGGCAAAATAAGTTTGATACTTCATTAGAAAGTGATCAAAATTGTCTTTAGTTAATGTTTCATCCATTTATTGCATTAAAAGCATCATATTCATTCCTAATCGCTTGTCAAACATTGTTTATTTTCGTTACTTTTTCTTCGACTGCCATTGAATTATTTGTAAAAACTATGGATCGGATGCGGGATTCATCGGAATCGGACCAGCTATGACCAAAATCTGCATTTTTACGATAATAACTACAGACACACAACTGGCACAGCTGACAGAATAATAATGATCAAAAAAGAGAAAACTATGCATTCCACACGCATTAACAGACTATTTGTTAGATCTCCTTGCTAAATGTATTCATTTTGTAAATGCATTGTTTCAATATACTGATTAAAGTAGCTTAACTTTGTTAAAAATATGTATCATTTTTATAAGAAACAACTGGGACTAATACATTGAGTCCCAGGAAATAATGAATTTCATAGACATGATAAACAGAATAGTTTTTTAATTGAAATTTTATTGCTATATGATACTTTCTCTTCCTTTTTGATATAAAAAACAGTCCTTTTTTGTACTAGATATTTAGTTGGTAGTTTCTGACAAGAGGAGAAATATAATTCTGTAACTATAAATGAATATAGAAGACATAAACTGAAACAACTGTTATACTTTAATTGTATTCTCAGTTATGAATTGAACAATATAAACATAACTTAAAGAGAATAGAGCATATATAGCCACGATGCGACAAATGACATTGAAAAGAAATACAGTTTTTTTACGCCAAATATGATGCTATCTAAAATTTCTGGGGAGAAAAGTGGCACTTCTTCTTATTTCATATTGTTAAACATAAAGGATACATCATATGATTCAACCCTCTCGAAAAAAGCTTCCTCATCTTGGGAATCAACATTCTTCCTTTTTTCTCCAGATGGTGCACACTGTGGAATTTCTTTATCATGTGAAGCAGCAACACTGGTCTCCGTTAACTCTTCTGTGAAAGATCGCTTTCTGCAAAAGTAAAAGTATCAATGTAACTGGATTTTGCTGTGCACTTTTTTCCTCCCTGCAGAAGAAGATAAAATTAACAATCACTTGAGCTTCATTTGATATGGTCCACTCAGTGACACAGTTTTAATAAAATGCTCCACTGGGCACAGCTTGATACGACCGCAGAGGTCGAACCCTGAACAGTTGGGGCAAGTATGGACACAACATTCAAGCTTGATACAGCTCTGAATTTGGATTGTGATTAAATATTTGACACAGCATAGGTTTCTGACACAGAATGAATGTGGTCTAAGAACTTAAAATTTTTTAGTTTACCTTTTATGGTCCAATATTCAAAATCTAAATACATGGTTAGATTCAGCATATCAAAGAATCAAAAGAATTCAATTTTTGATGAAATCAAACAAAGTTTAGTTTTGGACCCTTTTGACATCAATGTGGACCAATTTGATAACGGGGTCCAAAAATCAAAATACATGGTTAGAATCAGCATATCAAAGAACCCCATATATTCAATTTTTGTTAAAATCAAACTAAGTTTAATTTTGGACCCTTTGGACCTTAATGTAGACCAATTTAAAAAACGGGACCCAAAATTAAAAATCTAAATAAATGGTTAGATTCAGCATATCAAAGAACCCCCATATATTCAATTTTTGATGAAATCAAACAAAGTTTAATTTTGGACCCCAATTTGGACCAACTTGAAAACTGGGCCCAAAATCAAAAATCTAAATACATGTTTAGATTCAACATATCAAAGAACCCCTAAGAATTCAATTTTTGTTAAAATCAAAGTAAGTTTAATTTTGGACACTTTGGACCTTAATGAAAACCAATTTGAAAACTGGACCCAAAATTAAAAATCTAAATACACGGTTAGATTCGGCATATCAAAGAAATAAATGTGGTCAAAGATTTTACAAATCTAATGCGCCATACTGTGCAATTAAAGATTACTTCTTGATATTTTTCAATATTTGAAATTTGAAAAATGTTTAAAAATTTTTTTTTAACTGTTTAATAAATATTGGAAAACCCCCCTTTCAAACTTTTTGAATCTCTCTTGGATCATTAACTATCAAACTCAATTCCTTTGCAACCATAACAGCCCATTTAAATACATCATAAAGGTATTAAAATAGAAAATGACATCATAGTCATGGCTAGAAATAAACAAAAAACCTTAATCAGCAACATTTTACAGTAATATCTAAAAATAAAATTCCTTTGTAACCATAAAAGCCCATTTAAATACATCATAAAGGTATTAAAATAGAAAATGACATCATAGTCATGGCTAAAAATAAACAAAAAAACCTTCATCAGCAACATTTTATATTGACAAATTTCAAATGGAGTTTATTATACTAAAGTTATTGGCAAATTTCCAATGGAATTTATTAATACTAAAGTTATTGGCAAATTTCCAATATACATAATTTAAAACCAGTGTAGCTGAGATATTCAAATGAGTTTGAATTACAACCCCAATAAATTTGCAACCATAAAAGCCCATTTATATACATCATAAAAGTATTAAATAAAATGCTCCCCAGGGCGCAGCTTGATACGACCGCAGAGGTCGAACCCTGAACAGTTGGGGCAAGTATGGACACAACATTCAAGCTTGATACAGCTTTGCATTTGGATTGTGATTAAATATTTGACACAGCATAGGTTTCTGACACAAAAAGAATGTGGTCTTAGAACTTAAAATTTTTAAATTGGACATTCACCTATTATGGTCCAATATCCAAAATCTAAATACATGGTTAGATTCAGCATATCAAAGAACCCTAAGAATTCAATTTTTGTTAAAATCAAACGAAGTTTAATTTTGGACCCTTCGGACCTTAATGTAGACCAATTTGAAAACGGAACCAAAAATTAAGAATCTAAATACACGGTTAGATTCGGCATATCAAAGAACCCCAATAATTCAATTTTTGATGAAATCAAACAAAGTTTAATTTTGGACCCTTTGGACCTCAATGTGGACCAATTTAAAAACGGGGCCCAAAATCCAAAAACTAAAATACACGGTTAGATTCAGCATATTAAAGAACCCCAAGAATTCAAGAATAAAACCCCATTGAAATTGGTCAAGAAATAAGCAATTTATACGAAGTATCTTCTTTTGCACAATACTGTGCAATTAAATATTTCTTGCTATTGCGCAATACTGTACAATTGACAATTTCTTGCTATTGCACAATATTGTGTTATTGGATATTTCTTGCTATTGCGCAATACTGTGCAAATGAAGATTTCTTGCTATTGCGCAATACTGTGCAATTGAAGATTTCTTGCTATTGTGCAATACTGTGCAATTGAAAATTTCTTGCTATTGCACAATACTTATTATATAATAATTTACACATCCTGTTTGGTGTGTATCTCCTACCATATCATTATTATTTGATTTTAAATATTAATCAGAAATAACAAACTTAAAATGGAAAATTTTAAAAGAAAAAAAAAGGAAAAAAAAAAAAAATCCCCCCCCCCAAATTTTTTGAACCCCCTCATGATTCATCACCCCCAAACTCAATCCCAGCCTTCCCTTTGTGGTATGGTACCTTGCAGTACAATTTCAGAGAGATCCATACACTTGAACACAAGTTATTGTCTGGAAACTAGAAAAATGTGTTTTTTGGCCCCTTTTTGGTCCCAAATTCCTAAACGTTTAGGGCAATTACCCCCAAACTCAAACCCAGCTTTCCCTTTGTGATATGGAACCTTGTAGTACAATTTCAGAAAGATCCATACACTTACACACAAGTTATTGTCCTGAAACTAGAAAAATGCTTGTTTTTTGCCCCTTTTTTGCCCCTAATTCCTAAAATATTGAGGCAATTACCCCCATCATCAATCCCAGCCTTCCCTTTGTGGTATGGTACCTTACAGTACAATTTCAGAGAGATCCATACACTTGAACACAAGTTATTGTCTGGAAACTAGAAAAATGCTTATTTTTGGCCCCTTTTTTGGCCCCCAATTCCTAAACGTTACGGCAATTACCCCCCAACTCAATTCCAGCTTTCCCTTTGTGATATGGAACCTTGTAGTACAATTTCAGAAAGATCCATACACTTACACACAAGTTATTGTCATGAAACTAGAAAAATGCTTGTTTTTAGCCCCTTTTTTGGCCCCTAATTCCTAAAATTTTGAGGCAATTACCCCCAAAATCAATCCAAGCATTCCTTTTGTGATATGGAACCTTGTGGTACAATGTCAGAGAGATCCATACACTAACACACAAGTTATGTCTGGAAGTTACAAAAATGCTTATTTTTGGCCCCTAATTCCTTTACTGTTGGTACCATAACCCCAAAATCAATCCCAACCTTCCTTTTGTGGTATTGAACCTTGTGGTAAAATTTCATAGAGATCCATTCACTTAAACTTAAGTTAGAGTGCGAAAACCAATGTGTCTTCGGACGACGACGACAACGCCAACGTCATACCAATATATGACCACAAAAATTTTTTTGCGGTCGTATAAAAATTTAAACACATCATAAGGCTATTAAAATAGATAAACTGCTTCGCTGAGCGCAGCTGGATACGCCCGCAGAGGTCCAACCCTGAACAGTTGGGGCAAAAATGGACACAATATTCAAGCTTGATACAGGTCTGAATTTGGATTGTAATTTAATATTTGACATAATATAGGTTTCCGAATAAATGTAGTCAAAGAACTTGAAATTGGTTATATGAATTGAATTTATATTCAATTAAAGATTTCTTGCTGTTGTGCAATACACTGTGCTGTTGCGCAATACTTAGTAAATTTGTTGTCAGACTATAAACAAATAAAGTTCAATTAACTCTCAATGTCATATTAGAAATTTATGAAAATGTAAAGGGAGCTTACATCAAAAGATATAAACAATTCACCAAAGTTTCATGAGAATTGCTGACAGCATTTTTGAGTTCTTGTCCGAAAACTGGAAAAGCCCGCCTTTTTTAATGAATAAAACCCCATAACTTAGAAATGATAAATGAAAAATTTATGAAATTCTAAACGGAGCTTACATCAATAGATATAAACAATTCACCAAAGTTTCATAAGAACTGCTGAAAGCATTTTTGAGTTATTGTCCGAAAACTGGAAAATCCCCCTTTTTTTAATGAATAAAACCCTGTAACTTAGAAACGTAAAAATCTAAAATTTATAAAAATCAAAAGGGAGCTCATGTCAATAGATATAAACAATTCACCACAATTTCTTGCAAGTTGGTGAAAACATTCTTGAGTTATTGTTCAAAAACTGGAAAATCCCCCTTTTTTTAATGAATAAAACCCCATAACTCGAAAACATAATATCGAAAATTTATAAAAAACGAAAGGGAGCTCACGTCAATAGATATAAACAATTCACCAAAGTTTTATGCAAATTGGTTGAAGCGTTTTTGAGTTAATGTCCGACATGTTGACGACGGACGGACAGACGGACGGACAGACGGACAACGGTATACCATAATACGTCCCGTAAACGGGCGTATAAAAATGACATCATAGTCACAGCTAAAAATAAACAAAAAACCTTCATCAGCAATATTTTATATTGGCAAATTTCCAATGAAGTTTATTATACTAAAGTTATTGGCAAATTTCCAATGGAATTTATTAACAATAAAGTTATTGGCAAATTTCCAATGGAATTTATTAACAATAAAGTTATTGGCAAATTTCCAATATACATAATTTAAAAGCAGTGTAGGTGAGATATTCAAATGAGTTTGAATTACCAACCTTACACTGCTTTTAAATTATGTTTTGTACTTAAGTAATTGTCTATTAACCTGGAAACCCTTGTTTTCCCCCTTATTCTTTAAAGGTTTGAGCCATAACCCCCCAATGCCATTTCTTACTTTCCAATGGAGTTTAATATACTAAAATTATTGGCAAATTTCCAATGGAATTTATTATAATAAAATTATTGGCAAATTTCCAATATACATAATTTAAAAGCAGTGTAGGTGAGATAT